GTCTGACCCCCAAACCTCCAGCTTCTTCCACAGATGTCCTGCAGCACCTGGGCGGGATGAAGCACAGGGGGCAGCGACTGCTTCTCCTGGTTAAAAACGGTACCCATGCATCTGAAAGCAGGCAACGAGCATCTCCCTGTCCGCAAATGAGAAAATGCGTGTTTGCAGTGACATGAAAATAAAAGAAAAATCAACCAAACCGCTCACAGGGCCTGTAAATTAAAAAAAAGAAAAAAAAAAAAGCGCTGCTTTTTTGGTCTAAGATGCTTGTTGGGCTGAGGACATCCAGAGTCCATAGGGTGCTTTACAGTCATGCCTGGTAGGCTGGCCAAAGCCTGACTGTGGTGGTGGGGGAGGGCATTTACTGTGCTTCCTCTTAAAAATACATATTTACATGACTCACGTTCATCTCAAAAACGATAATTTAAAAGCGGTTTCTACAACATAAAAAACAGCCACAGCTTCCCCCCAAAGTGGTTACAACCTTTACTGCTCATTACAAAAATTAGAATTTTATTTGTAAATGCCTAAAAAATGAGATCTCTTATGATCCCTCCCCAACCTCTTGCCCCCTTAAAGTTTTTTAGTAAGAAAGAGTTTAACTGGTATCAATGCCATATGAAAAGCCATCTCCCTCTGGATGCCTTCCCATCAAGGAGGGATGTCTCTTTCTGATTTCCAGTCCCGGTGGAGAACTTGCAAACTTTGGCCTCTTAAAAACCTGGGGAGAGTAACCTCCGCTTCTTTTCAAAGTCAACTGCTTAAAAAAAAGGGGAAGAAAGCACAGAAAAAACCCCATCAAACGAGATGAGGACAAACACATCGCTGCGGGAGCTAGATGGCAAAATCCTCGTGGTCTTGCGGGCTGAAGGCAGCTGCCCGCAGCATGTCCAAGGAATTGACGAGGATCAGGGTGCCGGTGAGATGTTTCCAGCGCTTGGTGATGGGGTTCTTCATCTTGTCTAGCCCGGTGTGCAGCTCCTGGATCACATCACGGTAGCTGTCGCCCATCTGGCTGCTCCAGGTGAGAAGGAAGTCGTAAGCTGGCTTCCACATGGCCTGTGGTGATGGGGGAGAGGGGAGAGGAGATCAGAGCTGAGCTGGATGGCCAGTGAGCAAGTGATGCCATCCCAAACACACCCCCATCCCAGAACAAGCACATTCCCATGGAAAAACACCCCCAAAATTTCCCCAGCACACCCAAATCCCTTTTATCCCACAAAGATGCTCCAGAAGAATGTGCTCTGGAAGTATCTGCAACCCTAGGGGACCCATGGAGAGACACATGCATCTGCTCTCACCTCGCTGTCCACAGCCCCCGTCTTGTCTCGGTGCGGGGCCTCGTAAGCATCCATCTGCTGCTTGGAGACCTTGGCAAGCTTCTCGGCAAGCTCCCTCCAGCGCTGGGCCACCTCCACGGCCGTGGTCAGCAGCACAAAGTCCTGGATGAGCCGGACGACCAGCCCCTGGCAGTCCATTTTCAGCAGAGCCTGAGGGACAGTGGTGAAAACCAAACCAGAGGAGTCAAGGGGGCAGTAGATGGCAAGTGACCAGGGGACTGTACAGGGAAGTCCCTGAAGAAGCCACCCCAAAAATCCTCCCATCCCCTTTCTGGTGACAGCCGGTGAAATTAGGCCACCAGGCTCAACAGAAGAGTAATCCCATTAATTGAACAAAGCGCCCTATCCCTGTTCGACGAGGCTTGTGGCCTGGGCTGGCCAATGCAGCTTTATTTTCCAGGCAACCCCTCAAGATGTTCAGGCGCCGACATAAGCAGTTTAAAGCATCCCAGGGGCCGAGAAGAACAGATGCCTTTAATCAAGGTGACTAATCCAGCAGGGTCTGTGCAGCTTGTCTCCCCGAGCCTGGAGGAGCACTGTCCTTCAGCATGGCTGGGCGGGTACGGGCCAGCCAGAACATTTTGGGACAAGACCTGGGCATCAGCCTTGGGAGGAGATGGGCTGGGATGAGACCCAGGCGAAGGGTCAGTTGGCAGCACTACAGGACCACTGCTTGGCTTGGGATGTTCTTGCTCATCTCACCACCCCTTTGCCTTCCTGTGCCAGATGAGAAACCACCTCCTTCTGCGTCATTTAAAAGCTGAGGTTTTCTCTGCAAATGGTTTTGAAGAAGTGGGGAAGAGGAACTGCAGCAGTCACAGTTTTCTAGCTAGCAATAACTTAGCCAGGAAAAAAAAATGACAGAGGCATTAGCTCCTATCTTCAGGTACAAAATCACATTCACACCTGCTCAAAGTAGAAACAAAGCCACAATAGGGGAAAACCCACAATGCAGTCCAGGAAAGGAAGCGTTAAGTGGCAATTATCAGAGGACAGGATCTGACCAACAGAGTCAATATCCCACTCATCAGGGCTTCCCAATCCTCTGCCGGAGCCCTGTGGACTGCAACAGCCTCAGCAACTCCAGTCCCGGGACAAATCCCACCTCGAACCTTAAGTGGCTACAGAAAAGTGGTTTGTATTATGAAACGGGCATTCCCTTTTTAAAACATGGAAACCAAGCAAACAGACCCCAGACTATGCCTTGGGCAACAGTTTGAAGAGTACCCTCTTGTTTTCCTACAGCCAGATCCAGTCATGGCATCAGCGGACTCAGGATGGAGGCTCCAGGAAGGGTGAACACCGAGGGTTCAGTGTTTCAACAGGGGGTCCCACTTCAATAAAGGCAAACCACAGCTCAGGGTACAGCCCCCCGAAGAATGCTGAACACCAGCGAGCACCCAGGGAACCATGATGGCTCACGTGTCCCCCATTGGGAACATCACCCACACCTTCACAACAGCATGGGACAGGTTATTACAGAAACCGTGGATGCGGTGGTCCACACATGGCCAGGATCCTCCTGCTTTCTGCTGCCGTGGGTCCCGACATCCTCTCCTGACACAAGAAGGGTCTGGGCAAACCCCAGCTGGTTTGACTCTGGGGCAGAAGAAGGGTTAAATGCTTCCATAGGTGGTTTCACAGGCACAGTTGGGGAAAGATGGGAACATCTGAAACTACTCCAACGATTTGCAAAGCAAATGCATGTTGATTTTTCCCTTATCTGTTTCCAGCTTAAAGCTGTGCTCAAATCTAATCACAGCTGCAGACCAGTGTTTGCTCCTCCGAAGTGCTTACACTGGTTTCCTGTACTAGCGAGACAAGCAATAAACCTTCTTATTAAGCCATCAAGAGAAATACATTTAAAAGAGCACTATCTTTTTTTTTAAATAGGGCATTAAGAAGCACTTAGATCTCACACCTGTGCCATAACTGCCTCCGAAGAGCGCTCTGCACCCAGCTCTCCAGCAACACTACCTTACCAGCCAGCCTCCAGATCCACCACCCTCTCCTCTGCAGGCAGAGGATGTGGATGGTCCTAAGGAAGGGCAGATTTAGCATCCTCAAACCTGCGTTTCCAGGCAGCTCAATTGCTTGTGTGCAAGCCCGATCATGTGCACACTCTGAAACAACCTGGTATTTAGAAAAGCAGGCTAAATGAGCCGCTCTCATCTCTTGCCGTAGGCTGAGCAGGTCTGAGGCAGCAGAGGTGGCCACTGGGAGCAAACTGCACCACAGGGGTTAAGGGATGGAGCTGCAGGAGATGGATTCTTGTGTTTCTTCTGCTGCTTGACGTAAACAAGAAAACAGCATCAAGTGAAGCAACTGGGATGCCATGTAACTGAGAACAGTACAATTGCTTGAAGCAAGCAACAGCTTTGGAAAAGACTGATTGCTCCTGCAGCACAGCATTTTAACTCTGAAACCTACTGATGGCCACCTACTTCTGGCACTTTGCCCCTGGTGATTTGAACTGGGGAGGCTCAACATGCACGCTATGGGCTGGGCAAAACACAGGTGAGTAGGCAGAGATGATGGGACATGGGGACAGCACCAAAGCCAGGTGGGGATGGGGTGCAAGAATGACACACAGCCACTAAGGTAGGAGCCAAAGGGGGAATATTAGGGATAAGAGCAACACGCTTTTTCCGGGCTGGACACAACTTGCTCCCGCTGTCACAGAAACACATGGAAAGCATGCGGGCATGGGGCTCTCCTGGAAGCCCTGACTGCCCGGCCAAGATTAGCAAGGCTCACAACAGATTTAATCCTCCAGCAGGTGTTTTTGGCATTATGCTACAATTTCTTTCCATCCTCCTCCCTTGCCCTGGACAAACCTCCACAGATAGCTGGGTACACCCACCATGTCTCCATCCCTCAGTACCTAGCCATGCTCCCTGCCAAGGCGTGACCTGGGCTGTGCCTTCCCAGCACCCTCCAAAGCCTTTATTAATGTCGCAGCAGCTCCAAGCCTGCTCCACCAGACAAAGCACACAGCTAAGGAGATGGTTTGATATTCAAATCCCAGTTCAAAGCAGCACAGAAGTGCCTCTACTTAAAAGGCATCCGGGGAAGCTGAATTTGCATCCCGGCTCTGAAATGCAGATTCCCATTTCCCATCCTCCAATGATGGAAACCAGCATGGGGAAGAAAGCAAGCCAAGCCAGAAGCAACAGGCAACCCCAAAGACCACCTGCAGATATGTGGCCACCCCTGCCCGCGCCCATCACCACAACCTCCCTGGTCCACTCCCAACTCTGTGAACCTCCAGCCCTGCTTGCTCTCCCGTGCACAAATACACAGCCCCCTGCGGTCCAGCCCTGACTCTGTTTCTTCCCCATCTTCAGCCATACTAAAGGAATAAACCTTTCTCCTTTGCCCCAGAAGCAGAAAGCATCGCCAAGTTCACATGTGCCCACCAAGTGTGGCACAAGATCCACAAGGAAGCTGTTATGGAAACGGACTTTTTAAATTAATGTTTTTTAAAAATAGCATTTAAATGGGAAAGCACCCCAGGGGGGCCCAAGAGTTATCAGGCATTAGTCACCCCCCAAAACATCTGTAGGGCGTTTGGCAGGGAAGCGGAGATGTGGTTACTGTAAGCAGCAATATTTAGTGTCCCATTAACCGCTGCGGGGATGTGTGCCAGGGCAGGGATGTGACCCAAGCACAGCAGGCAGGGTGGGCAGGCAACGTGCCTGGGGCAGCACCAGGCTGCAGCTCTCACCTGGCTCCCCTGCTCACAGCCTCGGGGCCTCATCAAACATGGGGAGAAAGGTGTCATTTCAGAAGAAGGGATGCCAAGTGCCATCAGCCAAGTGCAATCACAGGCAGCTTTTTTTGCAGGAGCAAAATCACATGTGAACAAAAGCACAGAGCCCGCAACTGCTGCACTGGGGATGGGAAGGCAGTAAAGATTTCCCGCCAGCCCCAGAAAGTAAAAGCAGGTTGCCTTATACTGCCTGAGGAGCAAGGAGCCTGACAACATGACAGCCGAGAGTCATTGGTGGCATTTCCGCAGCTTTCTATGTAGTGCTGTGTGTGAAAAAGACCTTGCTGGAAGCCTGCAAGCAACTCCTTCTCCTCTGCTGCAAGCAACTTGGCTATGCAAGGACAAGCCACGTCCTACAGAAAACATCCCCACCAACTTCAGCATGGTGCGGCATGGTGGTTCCTTAGGGAAGCAATGTCCAGGATCTATACATGTGGTGGGGATTTGTTCCCATGAAGGCAGAAGGGCAGGAGTCTGGTTTTCCCCCAGACCCAAATTCAACACAGGGACTACTGTTAGCCAGCAGATTACTTTGGGATGGAGGAGCCAGAGGAGCCCAATCTGAGCAACCTTGAGCTGGCATGCTCTGGACGCACCAGCACAAGGTCCAAGCAGTGGACACCCTGCTCCACAGGACATGAAGGCCTGCTTGAGCCCACCAGCAGCAATTTGGGGTCTGCACACACCAGGGACAAGCAATATCTTTTGGTAGAAGAAAGGCAGCATGCAGATACCTGCAGTCAGAACAAATGATAGAAAACAATGGGGGAAAAACAAAAACCAACCACCATCATCTTCTGCATGATCTTTAGAAGTAGCCTGGAGAAGGAAAAGCTCATAGTTTCCACAGCTCTCTGCTGACATGCCCAGTGGCATTTCCAGAAGACCCACGGTTTTCCCAACAGCAGTGTCTGTTGGAAAGCATGACAAATTCTCTATAAAAAACACCATATCGAAAATCCAGAGCAAGAGAGAAATGCTGTGTCTCATCACAGGTTTAATCCCGGCTCCCAAGGACCAGGGCAGTGCAGTCACTGCGTGGCCAGGTCCCCGTGGCCCAGGTGCAACGAGGTCTTCTTGCATCTGTACCCAGGCCTTTTTAGCAAGAGCATCTGTGTGCTGCCTACTTTTGATGAGCGGGGAGAGGCGGGTTTCTCTTTCTGTTGTGATGACTAACTTCTGAGCAACATTCTCCCAGTTGCCTTCACATACTGCTGCTAGTGGTAGACTAGAAAAAGTAATAATTAAGTGCAGATTACTTATTAACAAGTCATCATGACTGGGCTTTTCCATGCTTGGCTGCTGGTGCATGGCTCTGCCACTGCGATCTTGTGTACCTCAACACTGAAGTCAGATAAGCCTGCGTACTTCTCCCTTCACTTGTCCCTTTGAGAGGGGATGACCAACTTTTAAGATGAAAAGGCCGGATTGGAGCTTAATCCTACCGGTTCTGCTTGTCAGCAGACACCAGAAAGCGAGTCCATTTGTTACAAACAAAATCAGATTTAAACACAATAAAATACATTACTGCTCTTTTCTCATCCCCTGAAATATCTATTTCTTTTTTAAAAAACAAACCCAAAACAATACTCAATCTAATTTCTCCATAAGCTAAGGAGGATTTGACAGCAGCAAGGGGTTTAGAAGCAACGTCATCTTCCACCAGAAAGGAAGCTCATCCTTTACCAACCGGCTCAGACTCACAAAGAATAGGAAACTGAGCCAACACTCAGATTTAGCCTCCATTCAAACACAGAAAATAAAACCTGCTCTGGGACACGGCACTCCAGGCATCCCTTGGGGAGCAGGATGTTTGCCTGCAGTTTACAGCCCTTCACTCGAGTTAGCTGCTACCTGAGTATCCAAGAGAGCCTTATCTTTCCCATTGTCTCCTCACTGAGGTCTGGCATGGATTTTTTATGACCTACAGGCTGTCTGGGACCCCTGAAGACAAAGGGAATAGATAAAAGAACCGCTTACAGCTTTGCAAAGGGGTAAGGCAAACAGCACAGAGCCCTTGGGAAGCATCCAGCAAGAGGAGCAGAGATTTGTTCACCAAGGCTAATAATTAAAGGAGCAAACCTTCCCTCTGTGGAACCACGGGGCCGTGGATGGCCCCAGAAAGAAGAGGCAACTGCATGCAATGGCCAGAAGAACCCCTCAACAAAAGCAGCGTCAGTGGCATGACGTGGCTCCTGCATTTTACTGAAAGCCAAAGCTAAAACATTGCCCCTGGGCCACAGAGTGGTACCCAGACACTGGAAACGCACCTGACAATATTTCCATGAGTAACAAAGGGCTCCGTACTCTTCATAATGCCTTACACCTCATACTCAATCCTCAAATTTCCCCCTTCTTATTAAAGGGAGTTTGGGAAATTAAATACTTCATTCGGTGCCGATCCTATTTACCCAGGCTGCCTACTCATAATTTAATTTTGCGTGCTGCACGTTCCTGCCCTGCTGCCCGTGCGCATCATCGCCAAGCAAAGCTTTCACTATTCCTTAATTCAATTGGCATTTTAAACCACATGATTGGCTGTAACTCGGTTATTCTGCTTCTGCGGGAGAGACTGTTCAGAAGCAAGAGCTGCAAATCTCTTCCAGACATTTTGTTCTGTATTTTCTTTGGCTCACTTCCTGTGAAATGCTAGAAATTATCATGAAGATGATCTCTTGTAAGAGAATTCCTAACGGCATCCTAGAAATACTTGAAGGCTGCAATTCACCAAACGCCTTTTAAGACAGAAGCCGGCCATGCATTTAAATCTGCAAACGTGATCCACAGTTGGACATAAAGCATCCCAGCTCAGAGGTGCTCACGGTTTAGCTGCCACTCGAAGAGATGGGGCAGACATAACCTGAGATTATTAGAGGGGAATTTGAGGTTATGTCATGAAGGCAAAGGTGTAGCATCATTCTTCACAGCAGCCATAAAATCCCTCTCTGGCACACCTTGATACACTTAGTGATTCAGAAGTACATGACCTGAGAGATGGCTCACCCACCCCACTCAGTATCAGAAGAGCTTTTATGTTTCTTGCCCTTTTTCCATTTTTCCATCAGTATTGCCTTCAACAATGCACACTTTGACACTGGGGTTGAGCAGACCAGCATCTCTTGAGTAATTCCTTAAACTGCATCATTGAAGGCTGAAATGTAAACACCCAGCAGCAGAGACCAGTTGAGGGCTATTAAATCACCGGACCAAAATGACCTTGATCTTGGACTTCAGATTAGCTACCTTCCAAAGCAAGTGTGTTTGCTGCCCTTACACAACATGTACCTACGGTATTCCATGAACCATATTCCTCATTTATGGCCATGATCCTGTTAAACCAGGGGCCCACCAACGCGTACAACCACAGGGCTGAACTTCCATCTGGCTGTGAGAAGCAGCCTGCAGAAGACCTTAAAGATAGACTTCATTTTCTACAGACTGAATTAGGAAACTTCCGCCTCCTGTTCACCCTAATCACGTTGCACAGCAGGGAATTAAGATGCCCTTATCAGACCTTGGACTCACCGTCATCAGCTCCTTCTGGAAAGATTTCCTCTCCTTGTTCTCAGTGTTGTTGCAGTCTTCCTTCAGCTTCTCCAAGACGGAGGCCACTCGCTCCGGCTCGCTGTCCAACTCTGCTCGGCAAAAAAACGTGAGTGGCAAGTTCAAATACCCCAGCGCATCGGCAAAGGACCGCCAGCTGCTGAGGTTCTCCATGAGCAGAGTCCTCACAGAGGCATAGATATAGGTTAGGAACTTGCAGGGCCTCAGGATCTGCTCAAGCAACAGGCTGGTGGTGAGATCTGGCCCAGAGAAATAGCTGGGCTTGACCTTCCCAACCACCAGCACATTTTTGGTGTGCACAAGGCCTATTTTTCCCTGGTAGTAGCCAATATACCACTCCTTGGTCCACAGCTGCCCTTTCAACCTGATCTTCTCCTCACTGAGGAGGGCTATGATGTCTCCTTTCTTGTACTCCAGCAAATAGTGGTTCTTGCTTTGCCGCACCACTGTCTTCAGCAGCTTGCCATACTTCAAGCTCAACACTGGCCGGTCCTGAAAAACTGGATACTTGGCGGTGGCAGCCAGAGGTGAAAGGATGATCTTCCCAACCTCATTTTTCTTGAGGAACCGCCTCTGCCCTGTCGGTTTGATGGCACTTTTTGGAGGCGGCTGTGGTGTCTGAACGCAGAATTGGGTCAAAATGGCATCCTTGTCATCCTTGACCTGTACCCTCAGTGTGAAGTCTGAGAGCTCATTGGGGTCATGGGATGCAATGGGGAAGATAAGGCGGCTGACCTTGCCCAGCTTCATCTGGAAGCCCCGCACAATTTTGGCTTGCTCACTAGCTTTCACCTCGTAGTTGGTCATGTTGGAGAACATGCAGAGCTTGAGGTCCTGAGGCCGGGACAGAGCAAACTGATGCTTACCCCAGAGCTGGAGGGCAACAGGAGCCGGACTGTGGGACTGTCTCGTGACCTCATTCACCAGGAGAGTCTTGGGCGCACATTCATGCCCGAACACAGCCACGACAGTTTTAAAGGAAGGGTGAATGTGTTTCGGGCCGTAGACACCAACCGTGATCTTTTTGCTGATGTAATCCCAAACAGTGTAAGGGTAGAGGATGTTCTGTCCCTGGGCTACAGCCGCAACATACATGCAGGGCTCCAGATTCTCCAGCTGTACCTGGATCGTGTCCCCATATGAATAGCTGAGCTGCATTGGCGTGTATGGCCCCTCTTTCATGTCACTTCGCAGGCACTGCAGTCCTACCAAACTCTTGCTCATGATGTCATTCTTGACCTCTGCTGACACCTTCATCTCCAGAATGATGAAAGTTTTCACCTCCATGTTACTGAGTTTGATCTGCAGGACTGGGCTGATGGAGCTGCACTTGTCACTGTTCAGCTCCAGCGGTGGATCCAGCATTGCTTTCATGGAGATCTGCTGTGTCTCCCCAGGGCACACGTGACCCTCTGGCACGTGGATGCTGATGTTGGTGTCTGGAAGCTGAACGGCTCCACCAGAGCTATCCAGCTTGCAGACAATGTTGGTCTCCACTGGTTGCGTCTGACCCCATCCAGGATTTTGACCAAGCAAATCCAAGTCATGACAAGACCGAGCCAGCTTCCTGTGGTTCAGCCACGCCGTCCTAAAATCTTCCCGGCTCTGGAACTGCTCAGGGGTGGGAGATTTCAAACCACTGAAGAAACCTGACGATGCTGGAGCGTCCGACTTGGCTTGAAGAATGGACAGTTCAGACAAACTGTAGGAGCGTTTACTTCTGAAGAAGGGATTGTCCCTTTTCACAGGCTGTTCCAGATCCAGCCTGTTTGTGGATGGAAACTCATCAAAAATATTACCCAGGCTGCTATTCGCAGCTGAACTGGAAACGGCTGAAGCAGGAGCCCCTGTGTCAAAGAGCAGCAAGTCAACAGCAACATTGGAGTTGGACTCTTTGTCCGAGTTGGGCATTGTTTGCATATTCCCATTCAGAAACGGGTTTGTCTGGGCTCCATTCAAGAACGGGTTGTTATTGTAGGTTTTCGCAGAGTTTCTTTTCACGTCAGTCCATTCTCCAAGCAGGTCTAACTCCTTGACCCCCTCGTCGGGGCTCTCCAATAGATTGTCTATCATCCCGCTGTCTGTTAAGGAAGAGTTGCGGTAGTTCACAGGCTGGACGTAGGAAGAAGGGATGTAACCCATCTCCGTGGTGTTGTGAGCGTACCACCACTCGCCTCCTGACGTGTCTAAGACATAAAGGTGGTCCCCCTTGGAGAACTTCAAAGTGGTGAAATTAGTCGGACAGTAATCTTTGATTGCTATTACTTCCTTTGCATTTCCAAAGGATGTGGGATTGTCAACCAGCAAGGCACTAGGAGAAGGCACTGCAAAACCAAGAAGAAAAACAGCACTGTAAGCAATCCACAAGAAAGTCACAAATTACTTGCAATCATTTATTTCAGGTAGGCAATCTGCACTACTTTAAGCAGTGAAATAAGGTGGTTTTAAAGCCTCTCTCTCAAACCTACAGGAATTTTTTTTCCCCCTAAAATTTTTAAACAAAACTTCCCCCTCCACTGCATCTGGTACATTGATGTCCCCCTTCCCCAAAGGGTTCATGATCTAAAGGGATGGGCATCAACATGGCTGGGAAGAGCAGCAGGAGCCAAGACAGGAGAAGCAGCAACTTGTTATCCTCCCCATGCAGTCAAGTGCCTTAGCAACAAGCCTCCCCCTCGATGTAGGGCCCCGTGCAGCTGCTCCTGCACCAGACGCCAGCGTCCCACAGACTCACTAAAATCCCTGATGAATGATGCACAAGAAGATATGCTGGAGGGAGTTTTGAGAGAGCAGGAGTCGCTTCTTATCAGCTGTTCTTTTCACCTGGCATGTTGGTATCTAAGCTCCTATGGGCACGTGCCAGGATCACAGGCATCCCCTTAAATGTTCACATTTAAAATAACAGAAGTTAACGGGGGGGTTCTCAACAACTGCTGCATGGGAAGAGCCATTATCCTACCAGTTTGCTCAGTGGTATCTCAAGGTCTTTGGCCACCAGCTCTTTAGCACTGCCATTGCACTCTTCGTGCAAATAGTTATCTGTGCTGCTGCAGGTTAACACCGAACGTCCACAGGCTAAAAGTGCTCTTGCTCTGCCCGTAACCCCTCTCCTGCACATGCGAAACATCTCACATTTCGGTGCAAGAAACAACTAAGGGTACCCACTATGGGCATGTCATACTCCTACTTTTTCATGTCACACCAGCCAAAAAAACCCATCAACATCTCACCTCTCTCACATAGCACCTGTATTTCAAAGCTCCTCAACAAAAATTAACTCAATTTCTAAAGAAGGTCATGTAGTTTGAACCGTCAGAAAGAAGCTCAGTATTGCCCTCATGCAGTACTGTCGTGGTCCTAGCAGCATCTCCAATCTCCCTTTCAGCAGCCCAGCTCAAAGTCAGTTTGCCAGGGCATCCCAATTACAAGCAAAACAGCTGGGTCAAGCCTACAGATACTCACACTGTCACTATATTTATCACTTTTCTTTGTGCTTTTAGGACCCATTTCTGTAAAAAGCACTAGAAATAACTGCAGATGATGTTACATCAATGTTCAGATGTGTGTTATCTTGCTAGACAGACCTAAGAAAACAAGGAGAGCTGGATTTTCACCAATACGGAGTGGTAAGAGAACTGGGACAGCACCTGCTTCATCAGGCTCAAAAAGTCTTTGGAGGGAAAAGGGAGATTTAAAGAAACACAAGAAGCCCCTAAAATCCCGGAGACAAAGGGACAGCAGATCAGACTGCGCATCCCTGCGGTCACTAGCTGCAGGCTGGCAGCGCTTCTTGGGCACAGAAAGTACAAGGTGAGGGAAGACACAGATGAGCAAAGAAAAGTCTTTAAATATACTCTAGGGATCAAAATACAAAGAAGAGGAGAGTCTGCACACATCCTAAACAACTCATCGTTAATCCACTTCCTCTGCCAGCACATAGGGAAAGTTGTGAGGACATTTATTCAGCGTAAAACTATATATAAACTCTGTATTGAAACTTTTTTACCATCCTGGTAGGAAGCCGTTGTTAACCCAGTGCTGCAGCCTGAACCATCTGCAGAATGGGGTATTTTCAGTCTCCCCGTCCCTTTGGATCAGATGGGTGACTAGCTGTCCCCATGTCCCCCCAAGCTGTGCACACAGCTGATGCAGCGACAGGGTTAACACAGATGTGCTGAAACCCTTGGAGAATATGAGTAATTCCTATTTTTGCATTAAAAAAAAAAATCTAATTTGCAGCAAGAGCATTTGTTTGATGTTCAGGTCTCTTCTTGCTACACCTGCAAAAGCAATTGCTTTTGTGCATGTTTATTTTTAAAGACCCTTGGCACATGCTAACTTCCACCTTGAGTTATTTCTTGGATCCATTTCTGCCAGGGGAACAGTAATTCCCCTCTCACCTGAACGTGTCTTTTATGCTGGGTAAGGTAAATACAGCTGAAAAAAAAAAAAAACCCGATAAAAGGAAGAAAAAGGATTATTCAAGCAACATGCAAGCTCCCAGCTCCGGGGAAGGGGAAAACAAACCCCTGCAACAACCTTATTGCTGTCACCTCTCCTAGCTGCTGGATCTCTTAGTGTCAGGTCCATGCCCATCCTTGCACCCATGGATGCGTTCATCAGTGCTTGCTGCCCTTCCCCAGCAGCTGCTGTCTGCTAACTATTACCTAAACCCCCTCCCAGATCCCAGGGGTGAGAGGATGCACCCAAATTGAGGAGGGGACATCGTCCCCACTGATCCCACAGGGGTCCCCCACCCATCCCTCCGCACCTTTGACGTCGCAGAGGCTGGTCTCAGTGAAGCCCTCGCCAAGGTCGATGAGCGTCCCCTCCGACTTGCACCGTGGCAGGCCACCCGAGTTTGCTGCCCGGATCCTCTGCGCCGCCATCTCCAGCCCGCTGACCCCCGTGATCCTGCAGAGCGCTAGGTGGCCATGGCCTCTCCACGAGCGAAGCCGGCTACAGGGACCCTGGTGTCAACTTCGGGAACCAGTCTGGGGGAGAAAAATGAACCCCAGCACATTAGCAAAGGCTCTGGGTCTCACCATGCCACCCATGCACCAGTGGTGCTCTCCCCAGGCGCACAACCACCCTGCGCTGCCGATACAGGAGAACATCCTCATGTTCTCCTTAAAGCATCAGGAAAGATAACCTAAGCACTCCTAATAAGTATGGCACTGCCTACAAATCACCAAGGGCTTTGGGTTGCAAGGACAGCCTGGTCTTGCACGATGCCTTTGCTGACCACCACCCCGTACAAAGAATCCCTCTTGCCTCTAAGAGTTATTTGGGAATATGTTGCTCCCAGGCTCGTAAATTGGCCCTTCTCCCCGTTTCATAAGAGCTTTCAGGGCACTTGCATGCTGCTGTAATACATATTTATAAAACCATCAAGCACTCAGATGCTGTGGGAGCTCAGGGCAGCAGTTAGCAAGCATGGAGGGCCCACGGGACCAGGCTTTTTGCACATTCATATGGGTCACCGTGGTCTCCCACAACAGCACCAGGACCTCCCGGGATGGGGACTGGCTCTTCCTGCTTGCTCCCTGCATCCCTCCCCTCACCTGGCTGACTGGGCAGGGACCAGGCAGAGAAATGTCCCTTCTTTCACTGACTGCCCTGCTTCACTTGAGAAAAAATAAGAATAAAGGTTTTTTTTCTCCTTTTTTTTTTTCCCCTGAAACACTTGCAAAACACTTCCAGAAACCCTGTGGAAGAGCAGCTCCATCAGCACGCCAGAGCAGAGAGGCAAATTAACCCATTTCCTGCTGCCCACAGACACGTGGGTGCTTTGACTGCCAATGTCGTGCCTGATGCAAGCACTAGTAAGACCTCCTCTGGTGTCACCCGTGTCCTCTGGAGCTTGGAGGGTGGCCAGAAAGGCCAGGAGCATGTGGGTGAGCAGGAAAGCGTGGTGCCTCTCTGCTAGCCGAAAGCAAGGCTGGAGCACAGAGCCCGAGCCATGCTTTGCTCCTCCAGGTTTGCACCAAGGAACAGGTACGCGGTCCAACATACCTGGCATCATCCCAGTAAATCCTGCTATCCAGCATCCCTACAGACATCCCTACAAACTCCAGCGTGGCTGCAAAGTGCCAACAGCTCTTAAAAATAAAGCCCTGTGCAACTAGAAGTTATATCCAAATCCCCTGAAAGGCCTTTTCATCCACTCCTAGCACTGTTTTTCCCTTCTCCCTGTTTTTCCTTTCTTCCCCTGCCATGCAATCTTTTGTTCTCCCTCTCCCTGAAAATCAGATCAAGCAGAAAACAGCCCCCAAACCCAAATTCCTTAGGTAGGAATATGGAGCTGATGGAAACATGAAGACAAGCACCGATTGCTTTGGCTGCAGCCAGCTGTTATTAAATGAGTGTGTCTTTCTCCGCTGGCAAGGAGGAACAGCCCTGAAGAATTCAGTGCCCTTTTCTGGAATGCAATAAGAGGAAATTTGGAGGGGAGAGCCCTGCAGGAGATACTCCAGCCTGCCTGAA